CTCAAAGTAACATGCATCTCCCTAAAAATACCTGTATGCTGAATTTATGTCTGTTATGTGGCTTCTTCCCAGGTACCATTCTCCGTAATTTTTTAAGCTTTGTGTAACAGGGATCAAGTAACCTCCTCAAGGGCAGCTCAACCAGTTAGAGGAATCTAATTGTCCATCTCTGGAAGCAGAGTGGAGAGGAGTAATCCTTGTGGTTTGCATGACAGTGAATGCATTTGGAAGCCACTCTTCTCAGCTAGAAGCTAGGAACAGCCAAGAGACATGGGGCAGTTTTGCCCTGGACTGACACTGTCCTAATCATCTTAGGGAGTTTGTTCTTGGGGTCTGATGCTTTGAGAAGCTGGTCACTGGTACCAGTCCAAGGAGATGTTAGAGCTTTCAGACTTCATCTTGCAAGACTGAATCTTAAGCTTGAATTGTGCTGCAACAACAGGTTTTTTCTGAGTATCATTCACTAAAATATGCATGTGGTAATTTAATAGCTCTAAAGCTCTGAAAGCTATTCTGGATGAGTGACACTGAATGCTCATGCTCTAACAACTTTTATGAAAGTTTGACTTTGGCTGCTCCAATTTACCTTCTCATCTCCCATCCACATGCAGCCAGTCCTCTTCAATCCACAAACCTTGAGCTGTATGACTGTCCCACTTCCCTGTTCCTGCCATTTACTGGGCAAAACAGGAGCCCACCTGGAAGTTTTGTATTTGTTCTTAGGGAGTTACCGTGGTGGTTTGTTCCCTCTCTGAGACTTAACTCCCAGAAAGGTGGAGGTTTAAGAGATAAAGAACTGCAAACCTAAAGCAAACATCCTACAACATCAGAATTTTGTTTCCCACTGCTACTCAGGAGCTCAGATGAACCTAACACTGCAGGATATTTTTCTATAGAGCTGCTTTGAGTCCCTGGGAAGAAGAGGCACGTCCCTGGTACACACTCACTGATGCAGCTTATACATTCATGAAAAGAAATGCAAAAGCACCACCTCACACTCTGCTAAGCACCCCAAAAATTTAACCTTGCAAAAGGAGAGAGTCCTCACCTCCATGCTGGCCAGTTCTTTGGCAGGGCTGAGGCTGTAGATAGGGTTGGCTCTGCTGGAATGGACTTGGATGAGCAACAGCAAGAGGAAGCCACAGAAAAATGAGCCTTTAGGGTCCATGGCGCTGGGTTTGTTGTCAATAGGGAAGTTCAAGCTGTTTCTTCTGAGATGTCTCTTCAGTTCTCTCTCTTCCTTGTCCTATCCTCTCTCTTCCAAAGCTTGTCTTTTATACTCTTTGGGTGTGATCTCTGCTTCCTAGGTTATCAGTGGATTTATCTGGGGCACATTCCAGTCCCACTGAAGGCATGCAGCTCTGTCAAGGGAAGATTCCCTTTATTAGCTGTCATTAGGCAGCAGCTGCTGTTGCTGAGGAATGTATGTCACAAGTCAGTGATTTCATGTCACTCCCCCTCCTCTTGATACCAGGCGCTGTGATTACATAGTCCAGTTGGAAATTCTTAGCAATTTTCTTTCAAGAGACCCCTATGGTCAGATTTACCTCCAAACTGCTCCAAACTCTGCTCACTTAGAAGCTTTCCATAGGGAAACAACTTTTTACAGGGAAAACAATAGGCTTTTCAGATGAGCATTTGGTGGAGAGTAAAGGCTGAAGATAAATCTACTTTTAGGACACCTAAAGTATCGTGCACACTTCCCTTCTATATATGGAATATCCACAGCCACCACATACCATGGAGTGTGCTGAAAACCCCAGGTTTGGGCCACTTTTCTTTTCCTGTGGCTGTGGTGATAGCACCACTGAGACTTTATATTTTTACATTGTCAACAACAGAGGCACCCTGATCTGCACCTCAGTAGAGATGATAACTTCTAGTCTGACTCTGCAGGGACACCGGGTACCTCCAGCCCCCCTGACAACTGACTTCGGCACCACTGAAAAACTCTTTATTAACAGCTAAATGTTTAATTCTATGGGATTTCTTTAAGCATCGATGGTAAGACTTGACCCTGCAGCAATAAAAGTTAAAGAGATGGTCAGATTCAGGAATAGTCTTGTACCCTCATACAAGAAAATAACTTGCTTGCCGAGGATTTTAGCTAGATGGCTTGTGGGGTTATTCAGCAAAGGTATCAGGATCTGTTCCCAAGATATAATGAATTAATTTATGTATGTGTGTGTTTTGGGAGGGGTTAAAATGAAATGCTTAGTTTCATATATTAAAAAATATTTGTTTCTTTGAGATCTGAGGTTTTCTGTATTAGGTAAAAGCTGTCTATGCTTAAATGAGAAATTACAAAAATACAGATTGGCTGCAAATTCCTCTTCCAATGTTGAATTTGTGTGTCTAGTACAAGTAAAAATTAATCTTTTTTACAGAACTGCAAGACAGTCCTAACTCGTGAAGCATATATTGCTTATTCTGTGTTTTCCTAATCGTTCTTGGTATTCTAAATAGAAACAAGAATGAACATATGAGCAAGTTGAATATGACAATCTAGTCATAATTTGTTGACTTTTAATATTAATATAGATCTTGAAATAATCTCCTGAGTACAATTTCTAAATACTAATAGAAAGATAAAATATTTCTCATGTCTTAAATGTCTTAACAATGGTGTTTGTGTACAAACATGTGCACACACTGTTCACATGATCCGCTACCAAAATTATACTAGAAAGGACATTCTCAAGGTTGTGAAGTCAAGCTCAAATGCTACTTTTCCCTAATATAGTCTGAAGTCAGCCCAGCTCTGCATTGTCCTGGTGAACCTCATTATAAGAGCACTCCCTATTTTTCCCCAATCCGTGCTTTTTTTCAGCACGTGGAGGCAATGCTGGGTTTTTATATTACTGTGTCCCAACACATTCTTACTTTATGCTGTTCAAATTGTGCTTTAGAAATAACCAAGACTCTGACAGGATTTTTAAAATTAACACACTATCCTGCAGTGTCTGTGTAATTCACTAATGATTCCAAGTATTCTCTTACCGCTGCTTTTGTTTGCTGCTCTGTGTTTGATTGTGCGATATGTATAAACTGAGAAAGTGAGGGAAGATAAACCAGGATTATTCCTTGATATCAAGTGTCTGATTTAAGAGAACTAGGATCTGTTATTGGTTTGGGTTTTAGTGTCTTTCCTTTCACTTCCCCACCCGCTAATTATTCTCTGGTGCTGTCTGTGCAAAAACATTCTGTTGCTTGATCCGAGTTGTGCCTGGGAGCTCAGGACATCTGTAAACCAACCCCTGGGGCACAAACCCAGCAAGAAAAAACTCAGCATCAATCACAGATGTAAAATATTTAACTTCGAGTCACCTGTCCCTGTGAAACAATGTAATATTCAGGATTGTATTAAATAGCCTGGACCCAGAAATACTCTTTTACTGGTTTGTTCGTTTTCTATCTTCTGTATTTACAGCAGATAAATGAGAAGTCAGGGCTTGACTTTAGCCTTGACACTGCTTTTCTAAGACAGGGAGATTTCTGTGCACTGTTTCATGTATTATGTATGGAAGGATGTAGATAGGATAAAACTGCTGACCCTCACAGCAAGCAGTTGTATTTCCAAAGCCAAATTTGCCCTCTATTATCCATCTCTCAGTCCTGCCGAAGCAAATGGAGTGTAAAATGTCAGAACTCAGCACGTCATTGTTGCTGCTATAAAGCTCAGTTGTTTGTTAGCTGCTGATGTCTCGGTATCATCACCCTTGCAAGATTATTAGGAAGTTTAGGCTTTATAGCCCAGGGAGGGATAGTCAAGTCTCAAACAATGCCTGTGCTCACCTGGCCATTTGCCCAGTAAAAAAATCTGCTGGGACTCTTTCAGCAGGGCAGCAGGTTCTTATAAAAAGTGCTGTGAGACCAGCTTTAGGGCTGGGAAGGGTGTTTGAGTGGGAACTGACTGCGAAGAGCCTTTATAGTCCTGTTGTGAGGAAGAGACTGGATTTGGATGTTTTTCCCAGTGACTAAACTCAGTGATTCAACAAGCCTATGCCACACCCCACCAAGCTCCCTTTCCCTGCCTCACAATTCAGATTAAGAAGGAAAGGAAGAGACAAAGCCATCAGTGCAGGAAACAAAAAGGGAAGTGTCCAGAGCAGGGCATGCAGCACTGAGATGGTAAGACAGGCTATACTACAACTAGGAGAGAAAGTGGTGTCTCACTTACTTCCCCATGGAAAAAAGCTTATTTTCATCCCATTCATGGGTTGTTTCTCCTGCTGCAGGGGATTTATTATCTCGGTGATGTGGCTGCCCCTTCCCTTCAGCGCTCAGGACCGGCAGCCCGGCTCCTGCCTCTCTCCCTTCCTTTGAGCGGGAGCCTTTCTGTCTGTGTAGGGCTCCTTGTCTGGAGAGGCCGGCGAGGGCTTTGCACAAAACCCCGGCAGAGCAGCGAGGGGGGTTCGCTGGAGCCCAGTGACAATGAGCCTGGGGAAACGCGGAGCCCGGTCCGGCGGGGCGAGCGCAGCGCTCGCCGTGCGGGGCGACTGTCCCGGGTCCTGAAGCCCTCCCGGCCCTCGGCCTTCCCGGCCCTCGGCCGCTGCCGAATACCTTTTTAAAGCGATGTAGCCCTTCTGCCCTTAGTGGCACCCTATGCCGGCTCGCCGTGCCAAAGTCAGCACTGATACCAGCGGCTCAGCCCATGGGACAGGGGTGCGTGCAGGACGTTACCTCCAGGTCACCCCAAGCCTGATGCCCACGTCCTGGGAGGATTCACAGCCTGCAGCAGTGAAGCCATCAGGAAAGGCATCCCAGGTCACTGCCACAGTCCCAGAGCTGGCATCAGTGCCTGACAGTGCCTCTCTAGTGCAGCACTGAGCTGGTCGTTGTCCTGGAATGATGTAACTACCGTCCTTCCTGCTGCTGCAACCCTCTAGCAAAGGCTTGTCCAGATCCCGTGGGATGCTCTGGCCAGAGTTGAGACTGAGCCCTCAGGGCAGAGGGAAAGGAATGTTCTGGAGGGGATTTCTGTATCCTCTGACTGTGTACTACACCGTGACAGAAAGAACACTCACAAAAGGTTGTGTGGGCTTTGTACAAAAGTTTATTGCCGCGTCCCACGCCCCTGCGGAGGCTCCGGGGGGAGCTGGGCTGGCTGCTGGGCACCAGCCCGAAGGCTCAGGATGCTCTTGGGAGCCAGTCATGGCTTCAGCTTCTCCGTCTCCTCCAGACACCTGGGAGAGAAGGGCAGAAAGCTGCCGGGGGAGCCGCTGCCAGGCTTTCAGCCTCCCCCGTGTCCCTGCACCGCGGGAACCCGCGGGCTCTGCCCGGCACCTACGGCCTTGGTACTGGTTGCATCCCAGCCCCGTCTGCGCGCCGATCCTCTCCATCCGCGTCCCGAAGCAGCTGGAGAAATGCCTCCGTCTGTAGGAGGAGAGGAGGCTCCTCCACTGGCTCTGCCCCTCCGCCGGCTGGGGAGGGCTGGGCGCCGGGAGGTCCCACTCGGAGCCGCCATCCTCAGCCCCCGCCCCCGGCTCCTCTGCCAGGCCCGGTTCTCCGTCCTCTTCCCAGAGCTGCCCCAGCGCCTCCAGCAGGTCCTGGAGAGGGAAAGAAAGGGGAGAAGCGGTGGGGGACAGGGAGCCCTGCTCCTGGCTGCTTGACCCCGGCGGGATGCGTGAGAGTGGGAGCCCCGGGAGCCTCGGTACCTGCAGGGACTGCAGCTCCGCTCCGTGCTTGCTGCCAGCCGGCTGGGGGGCTGCTCGTGGCACGAGCAGCAGGAGCAGCGAGGCTCCGCAGCACAGACCCAGCAGCTGCATCCTATCCTATCCTATCCTATCCTATCCTCTCTGTAGCTCAGCACCGTGTCGCTGCTTTGCCCATGGATGCCTCTCCTTATATCCCCACTCTGTGCCCGGAGGGAGCTCAGCTGCCTCCTGCCAGATCCCCACAGGAGCTGGAGTGCCATGCTCTGCCCCTCAGCTTTGATAAGGGAACTGGTTACAACTGGCACCACAGGTGACCCTCCAGGAGAGGGGGGTCTCCTGGGTGCAGCAAATCCTCTAGAGGGAGAGAACTGCCCCGAGTCATCTCCTCCCCTCCTGGCAGCACTCCTTTTCCCAGTGATTGCCCCCCCACTCCAGTCTCCATCACTGTTAGGTAGGAAGTGACACAGTCAAAGGACCTTGCATTTTCTGCCTGTTTGCTCTGCCTCAGATCTGTAGGCACACAGGAGCTGTGAGCTGGCCCAAGCAGGGGGTTGATTTCCCCTCCCGGGATGAGGATGGATCATTTCTTCTCCATGGGGGAAAGAAGTGGGGGGAATTGGAAATGCTACTGTCTGCAGCAGCTCCCAACAGCTTTTTCTTCTCTGTATGCATATTTTTTCTGCTATGTGAATAGACCACATCCTGAGAGTTGGGTTTAGATTTTCCTTCCTTGCAAGTTCATGGTGATGATGGTTCCTGCCTTCCTCTGGCATTCTTGGCAGACCCTTCCATCTATAGCTAAGAGGCACCAACCTTTTAGTGGCCTAAGCATGCTTTGAGCAATGGTATAGCTGAGCACTTTCCTATAAATGTTTCTTGCTCTTCAGTCATGCCTTGGCTACAGCAGTGAACCCATCACCACTCTCTTCTCATATCCCACCATCATTTCCATAGGTGATGATTCTGTCCCCAAGACAGAATCCTATGTTTCTATGGAATAAATGTTCCTTCCAGAAAGCCTTGCCCTAATAAGGAAATTTTGTAGACCATTTCGTGTAGGCTCCTCAGATAAAAGTGTCTGAGTTACCAGGTTGGTTATGGTAAGAGGCAGCCTGTTTGTGTGAAACTTTCTCTCACTTTGCCTCAGAGCTTCGCAGCAGTTTCTTATTAACCTTCAGTAAAACTTCCAGCTTTCCAGTGTGTGGCAAATTTCCACTGGTCCTGGGGTGCAAATCAAGATGACCATGTTAGATCCTTACTGAATTAAAGTCAGAACCCATGATACCCTGTGGGTAGAGCAGCAGACAGAGTCCTTTCAATCACCGCCTGGGTAATATTGCAGGAATTATACTAAGTCTCTGCCTTCAGCCCTCCTCATTTGCTTAGCCAGTATACTCATACATTTATCTGATTTAACTTGATAAGCTGTGATGTCTGCTTGGGCCTTTTTTTCAGAGGCTGTCCTAAAGCTCAACAAAGCCAAAGAAAGCCTTTCCTCTGAGTTCAGAGGGTTTTGAACCAAGCTGTTGTGGACTTAATATTGCCAGGTTCTGGATGAACCAGCACCAATAAACCTTAGGTTTGTACAGCTCCTTCCCCCCTCATCTTGTCCTTCTGTTCCCCAAATCTACGGAGCTACAGCTGACAGAATTTATCTTAGATTGGAAGCAAATGAGCAATATCAGTTGGTGTGGGACAATGATCTCTGCATCCAGCAGCCTTAACAGTTAGCAAGTGGTTTTGTTTAAAGCATCAGAGCAAAGAAGAATCTGGCAGAGAAATGAAGTTGGTGTTTTGAAAGTACAGGACATGAACAAAGGAAGGAATGAAGGAATCAGGTGGTAGTGTGGTGTTGATACAGGGTAACAGCAGGTAACTAAGGTGAGAATGTGCATCATCCTCAATTTTGTGTGTAGCAAAGAGAGACAGGAGTGGAAGGGATAAAGCAGTGAGAGTGTGAGAGATCTGTGTGATGACCAAGGGAAATAAATACAACTGGACAGACCTGAGTCTTGAATGACAGCAAATCTTATTTGCTGCCTAACATCACTTATAAACAGATGCCCCAAAAACAGACACATTTCAGGAAGATCTTGTATGCTTATTTCTGCATAGAAGTAATTTTATTGCAGGTTTTCTCCTTAGTAGCTTCTGTAATCCTAGTCTGTAAATTCATGCACTGCTGCTTAGTGGAGATGGAAATGGCACAGCTAGAGATGAGCCTCCCCCATCTGACTAGCATGCCAACTTCAAAGGTTAGCTTTGATTATTTAAATGCTAATAGAGCTCAGCAAATTACCTAAAGTACAAACAGACCTGGCTTCAGTCCTAGGGATCTAATTATGGAGCCTTTTATGTGAAATAAATTGTTCTTGCTTTCTGAAACATAGCTTTTTAAAATGTTCACACAAAATGCCAGGTGATGGGATGGCACATTACCAGCTCAGCCTCTGTGGAATTGGAGCTCTTATCTGCTTCTTATTCATCTTCTGTGGGTTCTGTTCACAAGTGCTCACAGCTCAGTCTTCAACTTCCTCTGATGTTATTTTATCTACAAATAATGTCAATGGCCCCCAGTTTATGTCAGTGTAGCTGAGCTTGGAAACAGGCTGAGGATGTTCATGAGACAAAGTCTAATAATTACACTTCTTTGGATTTTCAGTGTTGAAATTGAAACATCAGGAAGCTTTTATGCCTAAGTGAATGTACTTGCTCCTGGGGTTACTGGGAGCAAGCCATCAGACCCAGGATTATTAGGAAGGAGAGTGCAACCTTCCCATTAGCACCAGCTGTCACAGGATCTGAGCTCTGCATTGTCTGACACCAGCATGTCCCTGGGCTGTGTGGGTTAAACTTCCCACCATATAGATTGCAGCTGGGCCAGGCCCCAGGCCAGCATACCTGAGGAGGGGCTTTAGTTAAGAAAGCTGGATGCTCCCTGTCAGGCTTTTACAGGTAACCACATCTGCTGCTTCTTAGCATATTGTTGTGTATTGGGAGAAAGAAGTGGAAATCTCTTCCTGTCTGGATGAAGGTGTGTTGGGTTAGGATAATGAACCAGAAAGCTCTTTGCTCTTGTTTGTGCAGGGTAGAGGTCTTTGTATGAGGAAGCTACAGCAAGGGAGAGAGTTATCTGTGTGGCCTGGTGAGACTCCAGACCTTTGGGAGAATTTGGTAATTAATTCCTGTGCAGTTTGTGGGGCTCCATTTAGAAAAGTGTTCACACTGTGTTGTAACTACTGCTCTAAGGAGGAGACTCAGGAGGATGGAATAGCCATAGACAGGTAGAATTGATGGTAATTTCTAAATGTGCAAGAGATGTTGAAATGGAAAAAGACTGCAAGAAAATAGAGAAGCTGTTGGTAGCCTGTGCAAGGGAAGAATATCTCCATTAATGAATCATTCTGTGCTTTCTGATCTCTGAAAGTCAGCTCTGAGGTGTTGAAATGTCTTTATGAACTTGTTACATGGATGGCATTCCTAGAGCAGGTCTGAGGCTTCAGGTGGAAGCTGTGTATTGAAAAGAGCAAAGCTTCCTCTAGTTTGGCACTGAATAGCTCTTCAATGGGTCCTGGAATGCCTTCATTCTATGGGAATTGTGGTTAGAAGGAGCATGGCTAAATCACAGAGTTGAAGAGATTGAGGCAGGCCCAGATTCTGGAGCTGTGGCTGCTCTGTGCAAACAGGCTTTCTTAATGAGAGCTGAACTGCCAGAGATTCAGAGCACATGGAGCTGGAGTCACTGATGAACATGTTTTGCACAGATGTTTGCTCTATCTTGTAATTCATACCTTGGTGTCCTGTTTCTACCTGAATATTTTCTTCCTAGAACATCTGTCTTGTGGGCAAGAAAATAGAGGGAGTACAACTGTGTAGCCCATCTGTCCACTCCAGGGAAAAGGCTGGAAGTGAACATCTGTGCCTTCATTTGTGACCATCAGTACAGACATTTGTGTCAGCAGCTTTACTGGTTTCCATGGAGCTGCTTGCTGAGTTCAGGATAGCACAATCATGATCTTGGCAAACCAGCCTTCATGTGGAATTCCTTTGGTTCATGATGTTTGCCCAGTAGCTGTTTTCCGATTTGTTCATTGTTAGATTCATTCAATATTTGTGGTTTGTTTTTTTTTAAATAGAGCTGGTCAGATACATTTGGGAAAATGCTTTGCACTGTCTGGATCTGCCTATGGAAGAGTAGGTGCTCTTGAACTTTCTTTGAAGAAGGTTGCTTATTCTTTTTTGGACAAGATATACTAGTGAGAAACATTTTTCTTTTCCCTCTATCAGTGACAAATCCAAATGCAGAGTAACAGCTTTCTACTGATGTCAGCTAAGACAGCTACCTTTTTAGCTCAAATTGTGGTGGTTGAAGATTCAGAGCTCTGTGTCCTTATCTCTGGTTACTTTTGTGAAGATGGCTGTGTCAGCCTTGTTCCTGTTGTATTCAGGCAGTAGTATCTTAGCTTCAGAAAAGTTCTTTTGGTAAAAAGTAGGACTTGTTTGATTATATTTTGAAGAGTGGATAGGTTCTTGTAACCAGAAAGCAGCACTGCTTCTGAATTCTAGTGGACTGTGTCTGCCTACAAGCTGGGGCACTGTTTCAGCTTCAGGAATGATAATGAAAGAATCACAGCCAAGGCTTGAAGCAAATTCACCAAATTATGCAAACCCGTTTATTAGCTGTGGCATAGTGTTTATTTATACATTTAGTATATAAACAGAACAGATTTTTTGTAGTTAAGTTTCAGGTAGGTGTTCACAAATGAATACTCAGATACAAACAGGCAGTACAGCAATGGTTTCTTCTGTTGGCCAAGTAATTCAGAGGAGAGGTGGGGTACAATTTGCTCAGTACATCATGTAGTGGATGGATTGGTGGAGCCAATGTGAATAAGGGCTGAGTATCTGCTGAAAGGCAACAGGTCCTTTGAAACCTCAAAGTTAGTCCTGTCAAGAAAACAGAGGAATAAGAAAAAGAGAAATGGGCAGGTTTTCATGCATGGAAATTAACTGATCTCTTACTGTTCTAGGGTCAGGTTCAGCTTCACTGTTCTGCTTAGAGTTTCTTTGGATTGGCACAAGTATTCCTGGGGAGCTGGTGAAAACCTCTCTGATCTGGCTTCTGTGGCCAGATGAAATGCATACAGCTGACTTGGAGAAAGGAGTGAAAACAGGTAAAGCAGAGATGTGGCATTAATGGCTTTTAAGTATACATTTGATGACAGAGAGCTCTGAGGAGGGTAAAACTAGGAAACTGTGTTTATGGTAGGAGGGTAAAAGTTACTTTAAGGCACCATTTGCTCGAAGCTTTTCTGCATACTTATGCAAGTTATACACAAACACACATACCATCTGCCTCTGGCTTTCCCTTACCATAGTAAGCAGTTAGCATCCCAGTCCACTCAGTGCCCCAATTCTGTCCAGCTTGACACCAAAGCAGCCCCTGGAGGGGCCCTTTTTGCTTCTGCCTCGATATCTTCGGGGTAAACTTAGGTCGCTGAAGAACCTCTGGATAGGACCATCACCCATGGACATGCTCCCAGGCTGGTCTCTTGGATGTCGGATCCACTGGAATTCAGCTTCTTGCTGATCAAAGGCATCTGTTGGGATCATGTCATCTTGCTCATGGTCCCTCTCTTCTGAAACCAGGGGATGCTCCAGGTCCTCATTGAGCAGTTTGAACAGATTCTGAAAAAAGGAAAAGGTAGATGGTGGAGAGGCAGGAGAGGAGAAAAAGGAGGAGTTCTGGGAACTCTGTCATTATTTTCATGTAAGCCATGCTCAGTGCCAAGTTTAGAGAAATTTATTTAGAACATTTATCAAAAGATGCAAGAGCAAGAAGTGGTTTCTGTAGCTGATGATGGTTATCTTTAGTTTCATCTGGCTTACCAAGCTCCTCTGGGCTAACATTGTAAAACTCTCAAAACGCTTCAAGGCTGTGTGCTGTTACCATATTCTGTACTTCTGGCTTTAAAAACTGCCAGCTAGTTGTGTTTTCAGGATCTGGGGATCTGGTATGTGGGGTGAATTGTGGAAGATGAAGAAAGAGATTTGGTCAATAACAAGAATTAATAAGGAACAAGCAAAAATTGGAATGATAAGAGAAGTGAAGCAATGACAGGAGACATGCTGAAATTGGTGCTAGAAGGATTATATATTTCTTTACAGACTGGGAGGTTACTTCATATTTGAGAATACCAGATCCCTAGTAGCTGAAATGTGTTTTCCTACTTTTGCAGAATTCCTACACGCACACACACTCACACTTGCTCTTTTTCTCAGGTAAGCAGGGACTGCCTTACTGCACTGCTGAGCTGAGGAGGTGATGATGCAGGTACAACCCATCAATTCCCTTTTCATCTTAAACCAGGGACTTCAGTGAGGAGCACGCAGGGGACTGCTCTAGGGCTCCAGATAGGAGTCCTTCCAGAAAAAATAATTTTACTCCACAAGTTTCTTGTTTCACTCAGTCACAAGATAACCCTAAATCTGTGATGCCCAAATGGACACCACAGGAAAAACGTTTTCCTTTCTCTTGCATCATGTGACCAGGAATTTAAATCCAATCATGGATTGCTTTAGTTTCCCTCCATTTAATGACTCTGTGTCTGCCCACCTCAGGGTTCCTGCTGTCATGTTCTCCTACTCCTTCAGTTGGGGTTGGAAGAAATGGAGCTAATCCAAAATGTCTAAGTCCTAAAGAATCAGCTCTATTGAGCAGCCAGTCACTTACCTGTAAGTTGGAAATGGGACTGGCCCTTGCCTGGTTTTGACTGACAATAAGCAGCAGAAGGAATCCAGGGCAAGAAAGAAGTTTCAGATTCATCTTCATGTCTTGGCGTCTCTAATTCCTCCTCCCCTTGAATCTCTCCAGTTCAGTGTTGCTCTCTCTCCTGCTGCCAGCCTTTATATCTTCCTTCAACCCCTCCCAAGTCTACCTTTTGAGTTCCTACCCATGCAAGGATTGGTTTGAGGTTTTGATCTGTTTTCATTCTCCCAGGAGGAGGGAGGAAATAGGCTTTTTTTTTTTTTTTTTTTTTTTTTTTTTTTTGTGAATTTTTCCACTATCCCCAAAGGGGGGGGAAGAAAATTGTTTTTTTTTTTTTTTTTTTTTTTTTTTTTTTCTGAGCATTTTACACTCAGGCAACGCAGCATCGTTCAGTTGCTGGGAATCTGAAGGTCCCTGCAGCCTGCTGTCTGGGTGCCACTTATGTGTGTCAGGTTGCTTAGCTCAGTGTTCCTTGGGTTGACTGCTAAACCTTTCCTTTACATCCAGAAAAGTATAAAGTGAGACAGGAAGGAAGTTATATCCACTGCACATTCACCTGGCTGCTTTGTCACTGTGAAGTGCCAAATCATAGGGACAGGGGCCTCACATAATGTGCTTTGTAAGAACAAAGTGTTATTACCCAATGTAATAATAGGGCATGAGTAACCTATGAGACCAAAGAGCATGATTTGGAGAAGGGAAATCTAAGTCCTAAAAATATGACAAGGTGCGTTAGTTACTGGCCTGAGTGACAGGGAGTGTGGCAGAAACTAGGCTGACATGCACAGAAAGCTTCTACATGGCTTAAGTTGAGGAAGAAATTCCTCTTCTACCCTGAATCCACTTTAAATCATTCCCCTTCTGTGTTCTTTCTCTTCTGCACAACTTGTATTAAATGTGAAGTCAGTCTGAAAGGAACCACAGCTCCAGAATCTTTCTCACCACACATACAGTTACTGGGACAGAAAAAAGCTGCAGGACCAGCATCTGTGTTTTGTGTACTCCCTCTCTTTTTTTTTAATTAATTGAAGAACCAGCTTCAAACAAAATGCTGTGAAGTGTTAGGGGGAGCAGAAGAAACTGAACCAGTTCTTAGCTGGGTCTTGAGGATATTTAAATCACTGCTGTTGGCCAGAACCTTCCTCTACTGTGAAAGCACCTGGGAGATGTGTGGGTGTCCTGATGAAGATGTATATAGATAACTGATTCTCCAACCCCCATCTGTTCTAACAAATGACTTTTTTTCTGTTTGGGGGCATTGAGGAAGAGCAGCAGTAAAACCTGTTCAGTTGCATGTTTTTGTAGGGGCATCAACTCTGAGCCCACTGAAAAATGGAAATGTTCTTGAGTGTGCACTAATACATCTTGATCTTTCGCTGCATTTTTACACGTGATACAGCAAGTTAAAGGCCAGTAAGCTGAATCTGTGTGGAGGAAATGGAAATTAAACCTGGCACTTTTCACCTGTCCTTTGAGATTAAAAGTCTTGTACTGAAATTTGGGAAAGAAAAATTCTGAGATGTGGCAGTGGCTTGAACGTTTTCAGTGTTTTTTTATCTGCAAATTGGTTTAAGGTGTAATTGTCTCTAGAGATGGATGTTCTAAGGAGACAGCTTATAAACATCCCTCTGTGTCAGAAAGGGAGTTCTGATGTTATTGCATTGCTGGATTTGCTTTATTGTTGGCATAGATTACAACCACATTTGATCTGAATCTTACTAGAAAAATTAAATAATCATTTCAGAGGTTTGAGGTGTGTAATTTGCAGTGTACCAAGACAGTAAGAAAAGGTCAGTACAGTTTCAGGCTCGTCTCTTCTGCTCAGAAAAGGCCTAGGGTTGTTTTGTTGGTTTGATTGGCTTGTCAAAGTTTGTATATATGTGGATAATAAATCTTCTTGACATGAAGATCTTCTAACTTGGTTTGGGGGACTTCTGAATTGTTTATCTGATAACTGTTGGAAATATATATACACTAGCACAGCCTTCATCTATGACTGTGTTGGTGAAATCAGAATTATTAAGGTTGGAAAGCACTTCTGGAGGTCTGTGGTACAATCTTGTGCTGAAAGCAGAGCCAACTTAGAGCAAATTGCTCAGTGCCTTGTCAAGTTGAGTTCTGAAGACCTTCAAGAAAAAAATATTTCCTAAAATCTAGTTGGAATTTTCCTTGTTGCAACTCACATCACTGCCTCTCATCCCAATGCTGTGCAGCTGGGTGTTCTCCAAGAGCAGAACAAAAGGATCTTCCATCTCCAGAAACAATTGCACTCAATGTGTGTTTCACAGAGTACTGCATAAGCTAGACAATGAGGACAGTTTCAGCCCAGCTGGTCAGCAGCTGGGTTCAAATCAGGTTTAGTGCAGTGGAAAGAAGTAGTTGGAAACAGAAAGCCATCCAGCAGAAGTCTCTGCTTTACATTCTGGATCTCCTTGGGACTCAGAGCAGCATCAAAACTCACAGCCATTTTCAAAATTGCCATTGGGATGGTGCAGTTGAGGTAGAGACTTCAACAACAAACTTCAGTCTATAAGAAGGGAGGAACCCCTGAGGACAGCAGAAAATATTTGGTATAAAAGACAGTGGTTCTGTGCCCATTTCTGAAGTGATTTGATTGTTCATTTGGATGGCAAATCCTCCATACAAGGTGGAAGGAAGTATCAAGAAGGCAGCAGGTTGGCATGTGTTGCTTATCTCCAAGAGTAAATTGTGTCCTAGCTTGCTGAGATGTTTCTCCATACCACCAGAGATCTTATTTCTTATTAGAAGAGTAGGGTCAGGGTGTACTAGTCCTCTGGGGATGTATCTGGCTCCTCTGTACAGGCTGCTGTGAGGAAGCAGAGCTGTGAAGTTGATGGCATGTGGCATGCTTAGATAGGTGCCATTAGAGCACTGCTGCAGGAACTTATCCTCCTCTTTCCTAGCTCAGTGACCTCTCTCTGCCTCTCCCTCCTTCCCAGTTGCTCAGGCCAGCATTTCCTGGCTGAAAGGGCAGTGATGTGGTTGTAGAGCTTTCATCAAAGTGGGATCACCAAGTCCTTGATGGAAGCTGCCACCAGGGACCCTTCATAATGAGACATTAACATTTTGCTGTGATGTCCAAGCATTTTTCTGGATGTCCCCTTCTTTTCCCCTCTCTGGAGTAGTCTAGTGGCTGAGCTGAAACAGGGTTCAGTGCACAGCATCATTGTGAGCCCAGGCTGGTAGTTACCAGCTGCAGAGGCTCTGCTGACTCTTCTGGCACTTCACTGCATGCCCCCCAGGCTCTGTGCTGACAGCAAGGTCCAGGTGCAGGAGAGGGCACAGGAGGATCTGCAGCAGCAGTTGTCCCTACAGAAAAGGGACTTGGCAGAGGGACTGCTGAGCAAACTTAACTAAACTTACCTGGAATGTATCCACTGGATCTGCACCAGCACAATCCAGAGGAGAATTTGGTCCCTCAGGGATGACTGGGACTGTGTACTGGGAGGAACTTGGATCTCCTAGTGTCTGTGGGGAATAAACCAAACCTTCCCTGTTGGGTGACTTGAAAGGGACTTTCCTTGTGGGCTGGGTCATCCTACAGTGGCCCACTGCACACGTGTCCTCTCTCCTCCTCCTCTCCAACAGCATTTTCTGTGGGACTGGGAAGGCCAGGAAGAGCATAGATTCAGTGCTGTCACCATTCTTCTCTGGGGTCCCAAGAACATGTTTTGCCTTTGTTCTGCTCTCACTCATGCTCACTGCTCTCTTTGATAGTGGCCAAGGGGGGGATGTTTTCCTCTACAGCCACTTGGGATTGAAGGGGCGTAGGCCACCTGAGGACAAGGAGAGGAGCAGGCTGCCATTTAGTAGCAGGTTGTAGGTGGTTCTGGAGCATTGGGTTTTGAAGGCAAAGTTTTTATATTAGGTTTGTCAGGCACATTTATCACATTCTGCTGATGCTAATGGAGCCCAGCAGGGAAGCAGCAGTGAGGGAGATGGAGCTCAGTGCTAGTCAAAGGGCTGTCTCTGTATGCTCTGTGGCTCACTGCTGCTTGCTGGAGGGGAGCTGGGCGCAATTCTGATCCCTACCTAGCAGGGGTGATCACAAAGAAGCCCCATGGGACTTTTTATCTGGCCTGTAGCAGGCAAGATCAGTCTCACTTCTGATTATCTCCCAGTGCTGGCACTTGGATGGCACTAGGGAGAGAAATGCAACATCCACTGGTTTGTCAGTGAGTGTTCTTGGCCCCATTTTCAATGATTCATCTCCCAAAGGAGCTTTTTCTTCAGGCATGAGGGCATTTTTAGGTTCAGTGATCTTGCTGTGTGGCTTAATGCTAAAGATCCCTGGCTCTGTGCTAGTCTTGCTGATATTTACAACAATTTTGCTGTAAATTCTTTTGACATCTAGAGAGAGGCTGCTTTTCTCAAGGTACTTTTAAGCACACAGAGTCCCACTGCCTGTGGTCAGCACTCTTCAGCAAGTGGTATCCTCAGCTCTCTAAGGAAAAAGTGGAAAGGGAATGGATCAAGTTATAGATGCAAATAATAGCTGTAGAGCAGTGTGAAATGGATGAAATGTGAAAACTGCTGGAGAGCTGGTATGAAAAGCACAGGCAGCTTTTACAGGCTGTAGCACTGGAGAAGATTCTCAGATTAATCATGGTAGCTTGATAGGAAGAAAGGAAGGGGGTTGTATTAGGCAAATGTGAAAAGGAAGTAGGGAATGAAGACTAAGCAAACCTTGTAGGATCAGCTGAAACAAAATTCAGGATTTTTGGAGACATTAAGTGAAATGGATCATGAAACAAACAGAAAACAAGCTCAGGTGTTTGGAGCAATGGCACAAAACTTCTGCTTGATGCCTGGTGGGAGGCAGAGATTTAAAGAAGTACTCATGTTCCACAGATCCTCACCTGATACTATAGTTTTGGCTAAGCTTCATCTCCAGCAAGATGAACAGCATCCTGCTGCTTGGTTGGTTTGGAAAAGTGGGAATGTCTACCCAGGCCAGCTGTAGGTGTTACACTGCAGCTGAAAACATGGGTTAGCTGAGCATGGCTTTAAACCATGTCAGTCTCTTCAGTCCTGTG